AATGTTTCATTCATCATTTTCCATTGTATTGTTTATGTACTACATGTATATTTCATGTAAAAAAATTTTTTGTTTTAATACTTCTGGGTGTCAGGAATGGATTAATTGTATTTACATTATTTCTTATGGGGAAAATTGATTCACAAATCGTAAATTTCATTTATAGTAGCTCCTCCAGGAACGGATTAATTACGAAAAACGAGGGACCACTGTATTTTATACAGCCCCTTCAATATATAGGGAGATACCACCTCTAGAACTGTCCTGGGGACCCTCATCCTCAGAGGAAAGAATAAACTTGCTTCAGGGAAAACTCGAGGTTCTCCCTGAAGCTGTTTGAGAATTTTCTCCTATCACCCCCTAAATATGATAAATATTTAAAGAAAAGGACACAAGTGCAACTAATGTGACATTTATTGTGGCAACGTTTCGCTCTCCAGGAGCTTTATCAAGCCATTACAAACAATACATGGATACAGAGGGTATATAAAGGCTCAGAGTGAGGTGAATACTAGTGAGGTACCATTTCGATGTTCACTAGTGGTAGTAGTAGTAGTAGTGGTAGTGACAAAAGTAATACAATATGGTAGAGCAATTAATTCGTACATGAGTAAAAGGATATAAAAGCTATTACTTGGGTAACTTTAAAAATAGGTTGGACAAATATAAACTGGAATGAGGCAGCTTGTTTCAGTGTTCACTCTCTGTGCTTTGTGTAGTATAACAGGAGGGGACTATGTGATGGCAGGGTTTACTGTTTTCAGGAGGATTCTTGCTAAGACTTCGGAGATGGTGAAGCTGCCGTTGTTTTGTTTAATTGTATTCGAAACAGCGATCAGTGCTGATTCGAGGCACTTGCGTCTGCGGAAATTAGTTCTTTGATCACTAATTGGGCGTCTCTGAATTTCATTAGATGATTGGAGGAATTTGGGTGTTGTACACAGGCGTTGTTCAGGTTATCGTTCCTATATGCGTAAATGTGTTCATGAGGCGGGTGTCGAGGTTTCTGGCTGTTTCACCTACGTAAATCTTGTCACAGCCTCCACAGGGTATAGTGTAAATCCTGCATTGACTGGTTCGTGGTGCTTGGATTTTGTCCTGGTTATATCCTTTATTGAATTTGCTAGAAGCGATGGCGACTCTGGTGTTAGCTTGTGAAAGTGCTTTTGAGACGTTCAGTGCAACCTGACTGTTGGGAAGAATTATAACTTTGCTGGGAGTGGTGTTGATGCGTGGAGAATTTATGATCTGAAGAGCTCTTTTCTTGCAGTCTTTGATGAAAAAAGAAGGAAAATGTAACTCTGTGAATGTTTGGTGAATGTATGTACACTCCTCGTCAAGAAACTCAGGACTACAAATTCGGTATGCTCTTAGGAAAAACCCGATGATGATGCCTCTTTTGGTCTTGGTATCTTGACTGGAATAGAAGTGTGTGAGATCATTTTTATTGGTGGGTTTCCGATAAACTTGAAAACTTAGGTTGTTGTCTACTTTGTGAATGAGGACGTCGAGGAAAGGTAGCTTGTCATTGGACTCTTCTTCTAGTGTAAACTGGATCGCCGGTTCAACTGCGTTGAGCCTTGCCTGAAGATCCCGTACATCAAAACGTTTTGGAGTTATTACGAGGACATCGTCCACGTAACGTAACCAAGTGACGCTTGAAGCCATCGCTTCTAGCACTTCAATAAAGGATATAACCAGGACAAAATCCAAGCACCACGAACCAGTCAATGCAGGAGTTTACACTATACCCTGTGGAGGCTGTGACAAGATTTACGTAGGTGAAACAGCCAGAAACCTCGACACCCGCCTCAATGAACACATTTACGCATATAGGAACGATAACCTGAACAACGCCTGTGTACAACACCGAAATTCCTCCACTCATCTAATGAAATTCAGAGACGCCCAATTAGTGATCAAAGAAACTAATTTCCGCAGACGCAAGTGCCTCGAATCAGCACTGATCGCTGTTTCGAATACAATTAAACAAAACAACGGCAGCTTCACCATCTCCGAAGTCTTAGCAAGAATCCTCCTGAAAACAGTAAACCCTGCCATCACATAGTCTCTCCTGTTATACTACACAAAGCACAGAGAGTGAACACTGAAACAAGCTGCCTCATTCCAGTTTATATTTGTCCAACCTATTTTTATGTTACCCAAGTAATAGCTTTTATATCCTTTTACTCATGTACGAATTAATTGCTCTACCATATTGTATTACTTTTGTCACTACCACTACTACTACTAATACCACTAGTGAACATCGAAATGGTACCTCACTAGTATTCACCTCACTCTGAGCCTTTATATACCCTCTGTGTCCATGTATTGTTTGTAATGGCTTGATAAAGCTCCTGGAGAGCGAAACGTTGCCACAATAAATGTCACATTAGTTGCACTTGTGTCCTTTTACTTTACATATTGTCAGTAATTCTACCAACTTTATTACAATATTTAAAGACAAAATACATTGACAAAACATTCACAAAAATACAAAAGAAAGTAAAACAACATAGATAACTACTCAGAGCTACATCAGTGTATAATATGCCAATAACAATAGGATTTATTTTTCACGTGAACGTATTACAGGTCCACCATCACAAATCCGGCAATCAGTTATTCGGTTCCTTCAGTTATTCAGCACTAATTTTGGCTAGCATAATTTCAAATTTCCAGGGTCGCCACACTAAACTGTTCGGTGGCGCTACTTGCTGCATAAGTCATTCCAATTTCTTTTTCTCCATTTATTGTTTTAACCTGCTTACTTTTAGCCCTAGCCATGGTTCCAATGAATAAAAGAAATGCTTCTCATTATGTAAAGCACCTACACAGTGGCTTTGAAGCCACTGTCGGTTGCCATGAGCTCAGTCTCATGATGCAGGAGAATATGCTTTATTATTATGCTAATATCATCACTACAGCTTATTTGCCTATCACAATTGATCTAATATGACATAATAAACAATATAAATAACATAAAACATGTTAAATACTCCAGAATAAATAATAATTGGCATAACACTGAGCAGTTCGACAGAGGTATGAAGAGGATATGGTATACAAATACCGTTCTCCTATCCCTGTCATGGGGTTTATATTAGAGAAAACGGAGTATAGCACAGGGCTAACTGTGATATACATTCGTACTGCACCATAAACCTAAAACAAAAAAGTTATTTTCTCTATATAGATTATCTCACACAGCAGCATATGTGTAGAGAACCTAGGATAACTCAAAAAAGTCAATGTGGCTTGTTTCTAGTGCCTGGCTTGGGTTAGCCATATATGATTTTTGGTAAATATTCAATTCCCAGCCAGGGTAGAAACATTAGGTGTGTTTCTTTACACCTGTTGTCTATGTTTACCCATCAGTAAATAGGTACCTGGGTGTTAGCCGACTGGTGTGGGTGTTATCCTGGGACACCGACCTAATTTTCTTGAAATACTCTGCATAGCAAGCGGCTTTCTATATAGTAGTATGTCACTGATCTCAGCTAGGCCTGTATACCTTGTACATGTACGTGTAGTAATTAAAGATATTATTATTATTATTATTATTATTATTATATTATTATTTTCTCCGTTGCTTGTTGGGTTATCTTACTGAAACTTGGGCAATGTGTGATGGAAAGATACTTTTTAACGTACACCAAAAATGAAAGAAATCAGACTATAAATAGCGGAGTTCACTTCTCAGCCATTAGCGGCCGCTTAGCGGTATATTTTTGTATGGTTTTTATGGTTATATTCTCATTTTTTCGGTCTCATTTGATAGAATGAAAGATATATTACAGAAATAGTTATGATTTTGATTCCTTTCATGACGAAAAGTACCTTGAAATTGCGCTCACAGTAGCGAAAATGTTCTATTCTTTAGCGAAGCTCAATACCTGTCCGCCTGCCAGTCCAAATTCCAATACAGAGTCAAGAATGGGTTGACATTATTTATACAATTATTACAATAATGCAGCAGTCTGCATAACAGTAAATCTTCTATTTTTTTGTGAATAAAAATTCCAAATGGTAAGCAAGATTAATATAAGAGGGGCCTGTAGCCGTGACTAATGAACAGAGAAAATATTATTTTAGTTCCAGGAATGTCTGCATTGTTTATTCTGGACCCTATTTTGAAATTGGCATCTGTTGAAATTTGTGTGAAATCAGCCAAATTGCCAATTTCTGACCACTTCATTGAGTAGTTGAAATAAGTGAATGGGCGGTTTCTTGTACGTACTCGGTTGACAGACTTGAAGTAAATAAGTTTATTCAGGTATATACAAATACAGTTACATAGATTATCATACATAGCGGTGTATGTATAGAGAACCTAGGATAACCCAGAAAAGTCAGACAAAGTGACTTATTTCCAGTACCTGGCTTGGGCTTGCCATATGTGATTTTTGGTAAATATTTTTTTTTCTCGGTTGTTTGTTGGGCTTTCTCATTGAAACTTAGGCAATGTGTGATGGAAAGATGCTTCTTAACGTACAACAAAAATAAAAAAGGCGGATGATAAATAAGGGAGTTCACTTCTCAGCCATTAGCTGCCTCTTTGCAGTATATTTTCGTATGGTTTTTATGGTTGTATTCTCATTTTTTGGACTCGCATGATAGAATGGAAGATATATTACAGAAATAGACATGATTTTGATTGCTTTCATGACGAAAAGTACCTTGAAATTGAGTTCTAAGTAGCGGAAATGTTCGATTTTTGCCGATGTTCAATGAACTTTGTGTAAGTCAAGTTGGTTAATTTTATTAAGTGTATTCTAACCTAACCACTCTGTAATCCGGCAAACTCAGTAATCTGGCACACTACAGGTCCCAATGATGCCGGATTTGTGATGGAGGACCTGTAATTGTTTTCCCTATATGTTTTATGGGAAAATTTGTTTGGTATAAGTCCTGTTTGGTATAAGTCCAAGGTCCTGGAACATATTAAGGACATATACCAAGGTACCACTGTATATATATATCCTGATTTGTTTCAGATAACTGGAGAGAACCTTGAAGCTATAAGAGATTATGAAGCTGTACTCAAGCGTGAGCCTATAAAACCAGTTGAAGTTGTGTCACTGATTGGGCTGGCTGAAGCTCTCATAGCCATTGCAAGAAAGTATTATGAACAATTTTTTCATGCAAATGTGAAGGATGCATGCCTCCGTGCCATTACTGCTTTGATGAAGTATGTAGAAATTTGGAATATTTTTAAATGTCTAAACACAAAAGTGGAATATACACTAGTTAACCCTTTAGTGTTCTGCCATTGAGATACAGATGAAATTCATTTCTATATATTTTTTTCACAAGGGTTATTTTGCATATACACCTACCATCTGACTTATGACCTGCTCGACTTACGACCACTCGACTTACGACCGTGTTTTTTATGCCAAATTTCTGGGAAATAAACACCTATTTGTGTTGTACACAGTGTTTATCCTAAACCTTACAGTATAAAATACAGTACTAACAACATAAAAAGTAAAGTAAAACATGAAATACCAAAATAAAACAATAAAAGTCATTACAAAAATGTTTTGTTGATATTCAGTAATAAAGTTCGACTTACGACCATTTCAACTTACGACCGGTTTCTCGGAACCGAACTCGGTCGTAAGTCAGATGGTAGGTGTATATACATACATACATACTGTATACTTACCATTTTTCTGTATAGTATTTTGCTATTTTAAACTTAATATGCTCATTATTCACAAATCACTTTCAGAGCTGCCAGCATAAAGCCTGAGAGTTCATGTATTTGGAAGCTGATGGGTGATGCTTGCACTCTGCTTCACCCGGTGCCAGCCTCACTTGCTAAGTTTACGGTACCTGCAAAGCTGATCCAAAAGGAAATTAAAGATTTAGATGAAATGACTGTGGTGGACAAACTTCAGATATTGCAGATGGGTGCCAGGTAATGCTTTCAAAATATTTTAAATATCTGTATGTTTACTTTGTTGTACAGTGGAACCTCAGTTGTCAAATGGACTAGTTGTCGAACAGGTTGATTTTCAGACCAATTTGTTTGATTTGGCTTTTGTACATGGTCTTGTTTGTTAACCGGTAGCACTCAGATCACATGATCACCAGGGTCCACAGCGTGGGTCTCAGTCAGTATAGCGACAGTGTGTGCTGTAAACACTTCTTGAGCTCTTGCTGTGCATCTTGTGAAAGTAATGAAACCAAAAGTGCGAAATTTCATGGAATACTTATGGAATTGCGCTATCGCGAAGTTAGTGTTCTCGGCGATATTTACACATTGACTGTTTTGCCTACTTTGAGCCCTATTTTGGACCAATTCCATTGCTCCAGTTGACCAAACTCATATCTATTTCACAAGAACTCCTTTTATTATATTGATTGAGTACAAGAAACTGCCCATTTACCTATTTCAACTACCCAGTGAAGTGATCTGAAATTATTAATTTGGCCAATTTCACATAAAATTCAAGAAAGACCAATTTCACATAAAATTCAAGAAAGACCAATTTCAAAATAGGGTCCAGCAGAAGCAATACAGACATTCCTGGCACTAAAAGAGCATTTTATCTGTTCATTAGTCACATCTCCAGGCCACTCTTGTATTACACTTGCTTTTCATTTTGAATTTTTATTCACACAAAAAAGATTTACTGCTATTCAAACTAGTCCATATTTGTAATAATTGTGTAAATAATATCATCGCATTTGTGAATGCATATTAGACCCACCACTTGACGTGTATTGGATGTGTGTGACATGATTTGTTTACTCTTGATCATTGGCAAAAATCGAAAATTTCTGATATTTTGAGTTCAATTTCAAGCTACTTTTAGTCTTTAAACCATTAAAAATCATTTCTATTTCTGTAATACAGTAGACCGTCATTTAGCACGAGTTTATTTGGTACGATTGGGTATTGCGCGATTGAAGAATTGTGGCACAATTTTATGTAACACGTATAATTAATTTAAAATGGTTCAGTTTGTGGAAAGGAAAAAAAAAAACTTTTGCTCAAGCTGCCGCCTTGTTGTGGAGCAGCCGGGGAGCCCTCCCGCCATCCCTTGCCACTCCCCGACACCACCCCACCATCCCAGCATTCGTAATTCATACATATCCAGTTGTTCTCTGCTACAAGGCAGCTGTGTTTGTGAATTGTGTTATGATACATTATTTTAATTACTGTATCTTGTATCTGCCAAGCAATCATGACACCCAGTAGCCATACCAGTGTTACCGAAAGTGGCACGAAGAGGTATAAGCACTTAAGTCTTAGAATTAACAAAGAAACAAAGATATTAGACAAGAGATAACCTATAGCCATAATGAAGTGTTACTTTGTACACAGAAAAAAAAGTAAACACGAGTTTGTGTGACTGACTGACGGACTTACTGAGTGATTTGACTGACGGAATGACTTACTGAGTGACTGACTGAATGGTTTGACTGACTTACTGAATGACTTGACTGACTTACTGAATGACTTGACTGACTTACTGAATGACTTGACTGACTTACTGAATGACTTGACTGACTTACTGAGGGACTTGACTGACTGACTGAATGACTTGACTGACTTACTGAGTGACTTGACTGACTGAATGACTTGACTGACTTACTGAGTGACTTGACTGACTGAATGACTTGACTGAATGACTTGACTGACTTACTGAGTGACTTGACTGACTGACTGAATGACTTGATGTGATGTAGTTCAGCTGGGCTTGTGAGGTCTCTAGGGAGACCTAATTATATGGTCACATCTTGCCTTGGCAAATGTCTGTCAGCCATGCCTTTCGGCGTCAGATCTCAGCGTCGGGTCAAAACACGTGGTGGACACCCCATTGCGGGGGGTGCTCTCGGGACAACATAAGCCCAAGGAACAACTGAGGAAGGGGGAAAGTTTGAGTGGAGCTGCTGCTGTGTGCAGAGCTCTGAGCAGAGAGACTTCGAGCAGAGCTGCTGCTGGGGAGTAGGGCTCCAGGGAAGGCTGCTGAAGTCTCTGGAGGAGACTGTTGGAGACATTGGGCAGAGTACTAGCTTGGAGCAGTACTCGTGCTGTGTAGGTCTTGGGACCTGTGGCTTAGTTCCTGTCATGAACTGTCCTCTGAACTATATTGTAAGTTATATTCATTTTTGTCAAGTTGATTGTGTTCCCTGCTCACTGCTTATATGTACCGCCCCATTTATCTAAACCCCAATAATGTACTCCTGTTCCCAAATATATTATTGTACAAGGACTTAATAATAAACTGTGTTTGAGTAGAATAGTAATATTCACTGTCCCCGTTATTTACTCATTTACTCGTTTATTTTTATTTCAAGTAGTAAGAGGGTGAGTAGGGTGGTGGGTGGAGTAATGAGAGGTGAAGGTGTAGTCACCAGTGACCTCATATTACCTACCTCCGCTAATCATCTCTCCAACCACCTCGCCTGTCTATCCCATGCCTACATAACCCCTTACTTCGTTATTCCCAGTTATGCTTACGTTACAATACCCCCCTACATGACACTGAATGACTTACTGAGTGATTTGACTGACTTACTGAATGACTTGACTGACTTACTGAATGACTTGACAGACTTAAAGTTAGACACTCCAGTACAACCATCGACTTCAGTACCAGAACCTCTACCATCCACCTCAGCCCAGTAGGGCCACAGCATAACTCCACAGTCTTCACAATCATCCACAAACACCAGTACCCAAAATTTAGGGTAAGAAATACTATTATTTCTGTTACATTTGTAGTCTTAAGCAGTAAAAACAACATAATACATCAAAACAATGAACTAAAACTTCATATTCACTTATTTTTGTAAGATGTGGAGGCCTAAAAGAAAGTTGTTTGGCATTTTAGGGGGCTCCCAGGAACGTAACCCTAATTTTCCCATATAAGTTCTTCAGATCATCCAACACGATTTTACCTAACACGGCATTTTCAGGAACGTAACTACTGTGCTAAATGATGGTCTACTGTATATCTTCCATTCTATCAAATGAGATCAAGAAAACGAGAATACAACCATAAATACCATACAACAGTACACTACAAAGTCGCTGTTTTAAACCAAAAACACGGTTGCAGTTTTTTTTCTCATGCACTGCATGCTGCAGTGTGACCATGCAAACCCATTCTCTCACATGTGGGCCTACCAGCTTTATCCCACACGATTTGTAGCCACTGGAATTTTGCCATTAGCTCTCCTCTGACAGGTAAGAGGTAGTTAAATTTTCATTTACTGTACAGTATTTCAGTTAAATTCTCATTTAGTATTCATTTTTACAGTTTCCGTGTGCTGTATAATTTTATACATTGTTTTATATAGTAGTTACTACATTATTATTAATAAATTATTATATTCTCATCTTTGGTCTGGAATGGATTAATTCTGTTTATATTATTCTTTATGCAAAAAATTGGTTTGTTGTTGACCATTTTGGTTGTTGAACAAATTAAGTTCATCAATCGAGGTTCTACTGTTATTTCTTAACTGTCCTTGTAATGGTTGAATGATAGCTCCTGGCTCTTCCTCTTTCTTATTGACATGCTTTACTATTTTCTGACCTTCAAGGCTCGATCATATCTACTCATAAAACTGTTATGGGGTATGTGCATGTACTTGTTAGGTTGTACATGCACTGGCACTGCCTCGAAGTTTAAATTGATCAATGTAGTTGGACTTGAATACTTTGTCTAGTCTTATGTTCCTTTGAGTCCATGTATGAAGTTTGCTTCCACCACCTTATCACCTAGCTCATTCCACATGTTCACTGTTCTTCAATTGACAAGTTACTTCATGGGGGCAAGCGGTACACCCATAGGGGTCATTCAGTCCCTGAGGGAATGGAAAGCATTCAGGCATAATTCAGAGAAATGTAGCACAGATCCAATTTCTTGGATCAAAAACCACAGCATCAAGGAATTTTCCTTGAGGCATTCAACATAAAATTTTTTTAGTATTTTTTTTTTTATTATCACACTGGCCGATTCCCACCAAGGCAGGGTGGCCCGAAAAAGAAAAACTTTCACCATCATTCACTCCATCACTGTCTTGCCAGAAGGGTGCTTTACAATACAGTTTTTAAACTGCAACATTAACACCCCTCCTTCAGAGTGCAGGCACTGTACTTCCCATCTCCAGGACTCAAGTCTGGCCTGCCGGTTTCCCTGAACCCCTTCATAAATGTTACTTTGCTCACACTCCAACAGCACGTCAAGTATTAAAAACCATTTGTCTCCATTCCCTCCTATCAAACATGCTCATGCATGCCTGCTGGAAGTCCAAGCCCCTCGCACACAAAACCTCCTTTACCCCTACCTCTAACCTTTCCTAGGCCGACCCCTACCCTGCCATCCTTCCACTACAGACTGATACACTCTTGAAGTCATTCTGTTTCACTCCATTCTCTCTACATGTCCGAACCACCTCAACAACCCTTCCTCAGTCCTCTGGACAAAAGTTTTGGTAATCCCGCACTTCCTCCTAACTTCCAAACTATGAATTCTCTGCATTATATTCACACCACACATTGCCCTCAGACATGACATCTCCACTGCCTCCAGCTGTATAGCCCTTGTGGCTTAGCACTTCTTTTTGATAATAATAATAATCCACTGCCTCCAGCCTTCTCCTCGCTGCAACATTCATCACCCATGCTTCACACCCATATAAGAGCGTTGGTAAAACTATACTCTCATACATTCCCCTCTTTGCCTCCAAGGATAAAGTTCTTTGTCTCCACAGACTCCTAAGTGTACCGCTCACCCTTTTCCCCTCATCAATTCACCTCATCTTTCACCTCATCTTTCATAGACCCATCCGCTGACTCGTCCACTCCCAAATATCTGAATACATTCACCTCCTCCATACTCTCTCCCTCCAGTCTGATATCCAATCTTTCATCACCTAATCTTTTTGTTATTCTCATAACCTTACTCTTTCCTGTATTCACTTTTAATTTTCTTCTTTTGCATACCCTACCAAATTCATCCACCAACCTCTGCAACTTCTCTTCAGAATCTCCCAAGAGCACAGTGTCATCAGCAAAGAGCAACTGTGACAACTCCCACTTTGTGTGATTCTTTATCCTTTAACTCCACGCCTCTTGCCATGACCCTCGCATTTACTTCTCTTACAACCCCATCTATAAATATATTAAACAACCATGGTGACATCACACATCCTTGTCTAAGACCTACTTTTACTGGGAAATAATCTCCCTCTTTCCTTCATACTCTAACTTGAGACTCACTGTCCTCGTAAAAACTCTTCACTGCTTTCAGTAACCTACCTCCTACACCATACACCTGCAACATCTGCCACATTGCCCCCCTATCCACCCTGTCATATGCCTTTTCCAAACCCATAAATGCCACAAAAACCTTTTTAGCCTTATCTAAATACTGTTCACTTGTATGTTTCACTGTAAACACCTGGTCCACACACCCCCTACCTTTCCTAAAGCCTCCTTGTTCATCTGCTATCCTATTCTCCATCTTACTCTTAATTCTTTCAATAATAACTACCATACACTTTACCAGGTATACTCAACAGACTTCTCCCCCTATAATTTTTGCACTCTCTTTTGTCCCATTTGCCTTTATACAAAGGAACTATGCATGCTCTCTGCCAATCCCTAGGTACCTTACCCTCTTCCATACATTTATTAAATAATTGCACCAACCACTCCAAAACTATATCCCCACCTGCTTTTAACATTTCTATCTTTATCCCATCAATCCCAGCTGCCTTACCCCCTTTCATTTTACCTACTGCCTCACGAAGATTCCCCACACTCACAACTGGCTCTTCCTCACTCCTACAAGATGTTATTCCTCCTTGCCCTATACACGAAATCACAGCTTCCCTATCTTCATCAACATTTAACAATTCCTCAAAATATTCCTTCCTTCTTCCCAATACCTCTAAGTCTCCATTTAATAACTCTCCTCTCCTATTTTTAACTGACAAATCCATTTGTTCTCTAGGCTTCCTTAACTTGTTAATCTCACTCCAAAACTTTTTCTTATTTTCAACAAAATTTGTTGATAACATCTGACCCACTCTCTCATTTGCTCTCTTTTTACATTGCTTCACCACTCTCTTAACCTCTCTCTTTTTCTCCATATACTCTTCCCTCCTTGCATCACTTCTACTTTGTAAAAACTTCTCATATGCTAACTTTTTCTCCCTTACTACTCACTTTACATCATCATTCCACCAATCGCTCCTCTTCCCTCCCGCACCCACTTTCCTATAACCACAAACTTCTGCTGAACACTCTAACACTACACTTTTAAACCTACCCCATACCTCTTCGATCCTATTGCCTATGCTCTCATTAGCCCATCTATCCTCCAATAGTTGTTTATATCTTACCCTAATTGCCTCCTCTTTTAGTTTATAAACCTTCACCTCTCTCTTCCCTGATGCTTCTATTCTCCTTGTATCCCATCTACCTTTTACTCTCAGTGTAGCTACAACTAAAAAGTGAACTGATATATCTGTGGCCCCTCTATAAACATGTACATCCTGAAGTCTACTCAACAGTCTTTTATCTACCAATACATAATCCAACAAACTACTGTCATTTCGCCCTACATCATATCTTGTATACTTATTTATCCTCTTTTTCTTAAAATATGTATTGCCTATAACTAAGCCCCTTTCTATACAAAGTTCAATCAAAGGGCTCCCATTGTCATTTACACCTGGCACCCCAAATGTGCTCTTAAATTCTCTTTTTCACATAGACTCATGTCAGGTACTTTAAAATTAATATTGCTTTCTGCCCACCTATAAATAAAAATTCTGAAATGATAGAGAATGTTTTTCTGAAGGTGATGACACTAAAATTTAAAAACTTTATCAAAAACTTACGGAATTATGTAGGTGCAAATTTAGGTGTATGGGTACAATTTGTGCATCGACAATTTTGCCCGGTTTGAGTCCTATTTCCAGCCAATTCCATTGCTCGACTAAATTCTTAGCTATTCTGCTAGTGTTCCATGCATTCTATCAATTGAGCACAAGAAACTGCCCATTCAACTATCAGAACTGCCCTATAAAGTGCATGGAAGATGGTAATTTGGCTAATTTTACACAAAATTAAAAAAAATTCCAATTTAAAAATTGTCCAAAATAAATAATATAGACATTCCAGGCACTAGAACAACATTTCCTCTGTTCATTAATCATGTTTCTAGGCCTCTCCTATATTACACTTGCCTTCCATTTTAATTTATCATATAAAAATCAAAGATTTACACTGTTTCTCAAGTAATAAAATATAACCATGTGGATATCTTTATTGCCGAGATGTATTGCCAACCAGTGATTTTTTTTTTCACTTCATTACAGAGAATATATACTAGGGACAGTGAAAGAAGTGGAGAGGTAGTTTTAAAGCATTCAGTCCTTCGGTGATAGGTGTTCAATCTCTTAGCCATGATAAATCTAAAGCAGATGCATGATGATGGAGGCTTGTATACTGCTGCACTTCTCCTCTGGCTCCAGCATACAAGTCTCTGTCCTCATGCATCTGGTTGAGATTCAGTATGCCTAAGGGACTGAACACCTTTTATGAAGGAAGAAAAACTCCACTTCTTTTGCTGTGATTTGGTATATACATTCACCAGGCACTGGTCCAGTTTCTAACTGACAACTTCTAACTTTATTTGAGCAATATTTTGTTCCCCTCTGCTGGTAGCATGCTAAAGAATTTTGAACCAAGGATGCTGCTTATAGAACAATGTCAATGTATTTAATTTAATCCTTGATCTTGTACTTTTAATTTTTTCTCATTTTAGGTGCTATGGGGTTGCTCTTCAAATAGCAGATGATGCAGCTCTCTGGCATGATTTAGGAGTCAATACATATCTGCAGGGAAAGGTTATGGAAGCCAATAACAAAGGAGGTGATGAGGCTGCTATTAAAGACTTGATGGACCGTTCTGTCATGGCACTAAGAAAAAGCCTATCTCTGGATCCTTTAAATGGGATGAATTGGAATTCTCTTGGCATTATTGCTGCTCACAAAAGTAAGAGTACAGTATAATACAAAATATTTATGGATAAAATTAAGTACTTTAATTTTTTTTTTTTTTTTGGTGGGGGGGAGGGGAGGGAATTGTGTGTGTGTTTGAGGCATATACACAAATGTGTAAGGATGTTTCTTGAATGTACATGTTTTTGTATGCTTTCATGTGAGTGTGGAGGTTTTGATGTAAAAATCTTATTGTTATTTACCATATATAAGTGGTATTGAAGTGGTATCTTATTTACAAATGTTACAGTAGGTTTGATATTTGTACAGATTTATGTACAGACATGACAGCTTGTCCTCCCACTATGCATGAAAGCCTGCATTTTTTAATAATATGCATTTTTACCGAGATGTCAATGATATAAGTGTTGCACCTATTTTTTTAACTTGCTCATTTGTGATTAAATATTAAAATTTCTTGATTGTTTTTTCATCAAACTGGTAACATCCCACTGAGGGAGGTTGAAATAAAAAGAAAAATGAAAGTTTCTTTTTTTGAATTTAGTAATGTATGCAGAAGGGGTTACTAGCCCCTTGCTCCCAGTATTTTTGTCGTCTCTTAAAACATGCATAGCTTACAGAGGAAGAATTCTGTTCCACTTTCCCATGGAAAAATTTCTTGATTTTTTTTTTTTTTTTCAACAAGTCGGCCGTCTCCCACCGAGGCAGGGTGACCCAAAAAAGAAAGAAAATCCCCAAAAAGAAAATACTTTCATCATCATTCAACACTTTCACTACACTCGTACATTATCACTGTTTTTGCAGAGGTGCTCAGAATACAACAGTTTAGAAGCATACACATATAAAGATACACAACATATCCCTCCAAACTGCCAATATCCCAAACCCCTCCTTTAAAGTGCAGGCATTGTACTTCCCATTTCCAGGACTCAAGTCCGACTATATGAAAATAACCGGTTTCCCCCTGAATCCCTTCACTAAATATTACCCTGCTCACATTCCAACAGATCGTCAGGTCCCAAGTACCATTCGTCTCCATTCACTCCTATCTAACACGCTCACGCACGCTGGAAGTCCAAGCCCCTTGCCCACAAAACCTCCTTTACCCCCTCTCTCCAACCCTTTCGAGGATGACCCCTACCCCGCCTTCCTTCCCCTATAGATTTATATGCTTTCCATGTCATTCTACTTTGATCCATTCTCTCTAAATGACCAAACCACCTCAACAACCCCTCTTCTGCCCTCTGACTAATACTTTTATTAACTCCACACCTTTTCCTAATTTCCACACTCCGAATTTTCTGCATAATATTTACACCACACATTGCCCTTAAATTCTAAATTGGTTGGGTTTTTAGCCTTCCTCTTTGTTCTCTTCTACTTGTTCTTCCCTGCCCATGCCCTGAAGTATTTTGCAAATCATATTTTTTTTTGTTTTGTTTTGTTTTCATTCCTTCAGAAACTAATCTAACTAATTTTGTCTTTTCATACCTCATGCCTTGCAGCTTCAATACTGTTCCAGTCTGAAGGCATACCTTTGAAAGTTCACTTGTTCTTTGTGTGGACAGGTGAAAGTTCCACTCTGATGCTGTAGTGAAGAGTGCCTTAGTCCTTGTTTAGTATTTTCAAAGTCATTCTGATGTTAGCCAGTCTAGCATATAATACTGATGGCCTTTTGCTCAGGAAACAGGGTTTCGTGTAAAGTTTATTCCCAAGTTTTTTTAGTTAATTTTTCCAGTAGTTTATCCAACAAGCATAATGCTGGGATTATGATAATCTGGAAACATCAGAATTATGATAGCCTGTGGTACATGTACATGTTTGTTTATATACACTAATCTGAGTTTTCTTTGATTTTATCTTAATAGTTCTTGGTCTTCCTAGGTAGTGGGTTCGTAGATAGCATCCGCCCAGGGAGGTATTACCGTCCTGCCAAGTGAGTGTAAAACGGAAGCCTGTAGTTGTTTTACATGATGGTAGGATTGCTGGTGTCCTTTTTTCTGTCTCATAAACATGCAAGATTACAGGTACATCTTGCTACTTCTACTTACACTTAGGTCACACTACACATTCATGTACAAACATATATACACACCCATCTGGGTTTTCTTCTATTTTCCTTCTGGTTCTTGTTCTTGTTTATTTCCTCTTACCTCCATGGGGAAGTGGAACAGAATTCTTCCTCCGTAAGCTATGCGTATTGTAAGAGGCGACTAAAATGCCAGGAGCAAGGGGCTAGTAACCTCTTCTCCTGTATATATTACAAAATGTTAAAGGAGAAACTTTTGTTTTTCCTTTTAGGCCACCTCGCCTCGGTGGGATACGGCCGGTGTGTTGAAAGAAAGTTCTTGGTCTTATTACTTTTCCTTTTATATCCATGGGGAAGTGGAATAAGAATCTTTCCTCCATAAGCCATGCGTGTTGTAAAAGTCAACTAAAATGCCAGGAACAATGGGCTAGTAACCCCTTTTCCTGTAATAATTACTAAAAAGAATAAGAAGAAAATTGTCAAAGTGGGAAGTCTGAATGTGCGTGGATGTTGTGCAAATGATAAGAAAGAGATCATTGTGGATGTTATGAATGAGAAGAAGCTGGATGTCCTGGCTTTAAGTGAAACAAAGCTGAAGGGGGTAGGAGAGTTTCAGTGGAGAGGAATAAATGGGATTAGGTCAGGGGTTTCAAATAGAGTTAGAGCTAAAGAAGGAGTAGCAATAATGTTGAAGGATAAGTTATTGCAGGAAAAGAGGGACTATAGATGTATTAATTCAAGGATTATGTGGAGTAAAATAAAGGTTGGATGTGAAAAGTGGGTTATAGTAAGCGTATATGCACCTGGAGAAGAGAGAAGTGTAGAGGAGAGAGAGAGATTTTGGGAAATATTGAGTCAATGCATGGGGAGTTTTGAACCAAGTGTGAGAGTAATGATGGTTGGGGATTTCAATGCTGAAGTGGGTAAAAATGTTTTGGAGGGAGTAGTAGGTAAATTTGGGGTGCCAGGGGTAAATGTAAATGGGGAGCCTGTAATTGAGCTATGTGTAGAAAGAGGTTTGATAATAAGTAATACATATTTTATGAAAAAGAGGATAAATAGACATACAAGGTATGATATAGCACGTAATGAAAGTAGTTTGTTAGATTATGTATTGGTGGATAAAAGGTTGATGGGTAGGCTCCAGGATGTACACGTTTATAAAGGGGCAACTGATATATCGGATCATTGTTTAGTTGTAGCTACAGTTAGAGTAAGAGGTAGATGGGAGAAGAGGAAAATGGCAACAACAAGTAAGAGGGAGGTGAAAGTGTATAAATTAAGGGAGGAGGAAGTTTGGGTGAGATATAAGCAACTATTGGCAGAAAGGTGGACTAGTGCAAGTATGAGTAGTGGGGGGTTGAAGAGGGTTGGAATAGTTTTAAAAATGCAGTATTAGAATGTGGGGCAGAAGTTTGTGGTTATAAGAGGGTGGGTGCAGGAGGAAAGAGGAGTGATTGGTGGAATGATAAAGTAAAGGGTGTGATAAAAGTGAAAAAGTTACCTTATGAGAGGTTTTTACAAAGCAGAAATGTTATAAGAAGAGTAGAGCATATGGAGAGTAAAAGAAAGGTGAAAAGAGTGGTGAGAGAGTGCAAAAGGAGAGCAGATGATAGAGTGGGAGAGGCACTCTCAAGAAATTTTAATGAAAAGAAGAAAAAAATTTAGAATGAGTTAAATAAGTTAAGAAAGCTTAGGGAACAAATGGATTTGTCAGTTAACCCTTTGACTGTTGCAACCCCCAATCATGAGGTGTCTCCTGGTGTTGCAAAATTTAAAAAAAAATTATTTTTTCCTGTGAAATGATAGAGAATCTTTTCCCGAGTGTAATGACACCAAAAAAACGAAATTTGATGGAAAACTGACGGAATTATGCTCTCGCGAAGTTAGCGACCTCGGCGCTGTTTACAAATCGGCGATTTTGCCCACTTAGAGCCCTATTTTCGGCTAATTCCATTGTTCCAGTCGCCCAAACTCATAGCTATTTCTTTAGAACTCCATTTTTCTATTGATTGAGTACAAGAAACTGCCCATTTACCGATTTAAACTACCTAATAATGTGGTCAGAAATTTGCAATTTGGCCAATTTCACGAAAACTAAAAAATATGACAATTTCAAAATAGGGTCCAGAATGAACAATGCAGACATTCCTGGCTCTAAAATAACATTTTCTTTGTTCATCAGTCATGTCTCCAGGCCCCTCTGATATTACTCTTGTTTTCTATTTTGAATTTTTATTCAAACAAAAAATAGAAGACTTACTATTATGAAGACTACTGCAATACTGTAATAATTGTATAAATAACATCAACCCATTCATGACTGCATATTAGAATGGCTAGTTGGACATTTATTGGACAATGGCATCATTTGTTTACTTTTGAACATTGGCAAAAATCAAACATTTCCCCTACTTTGAGCTCCATTTCGAGGTTCTTTTTATAGTAAAATCAATCAAAATCACCTCTATTTCTATAATATGTTTTCCATTCTATCAAATGAGACCAAGAAAACGAGAATACAACCATAAATACTATACGAAAATAGACCACAAATTCGGCATTTTAATTAAAAAAACGGTCGGAGTTTTTTTTTCCCATTATGCACTGCGTGCTCCAGGATTTTTTTTTATATGGTGCACACTGACCACACAGACCCATTCTCTCACATGTGGGCCTACCAGTTTTCTCCTCCTTGATCTGAAGCCACTAGAATTTGAGTATATATACGTCAAACACGGTACCTCGTAAGACGTATATATATGGCCGCGACAGTCAAAGGGTTAAAAACAGAGTAGGGGAGTTAGTAGATGGGGAGATTGAGGTTTTGGATAGATGGCGAGAATATTTTGAGGAACTTTTAAATGTCGACGAAGAAAGGGAGGCGGTAATTTCATGCACTGGCCAGGGAGGTATACCATCTTTTAGGAGTGAAGAAGAGCAGGATGTGAGTGTAGGGGAGGTGCATGAGGCATTACGTAGAATGAAAGGGGGTAAAGCAGCTG